TAGAGTGCCTGTTAGTCCACCTAAAATCCTTAAAGACTGTTTCCCTGAATCACTCAAAAGCACCAAGCTTTGAGATTGTTCTTCCAAGCATTTGCTACATATTTTAGTAATGAATTTTAATTCATCCCCCGCTACTTTTAACCCAGCAGGAAATCCAGATTTTTCCTGTTTTACTTACTCCCTACACAATGTGATCACAAAACGAAGATATACCTATCCACCTGTGGTTTGGGTGTTCTGTGGACATATGTCATCTACCCAGAGAAAATGATCTATGCTGGAAGAGTCTGAGTTAGCCAATCTGAAACTGGTGATGATTGGACAATAACGTATATATCTATAAAAATCTGTCACGCCTCAGGAAATCCATAACTACACTTAAGATGTTCCAATTCAGACAGCTCCTTTTCCACAATCTCAATCCCATACACAAAGGAAACACTTGGAATTCACTTTGAGCTTTACTCAAGCAAAATCATCTTTGTTTTCTTCAGTATGGCTAGAGAGTACCCTTCAAAACTAGACTCTCTCACGTAAGTCCTTCCTTATTATTGCTCTCTTGCATTCTCTTTGTACTCACTGCCATAGATTGAGTAGCTGTGTCCTCTCCAAAGCTCATAAGGGAACTTAGACTCCAGGTGGTAGCCATTAGAAAGTAACTACATCATTAATAGAGCTCTCACTGATGTAAGTGACTTTCTAAGCAGGCTGTAGAAAACTTAACCTAGCAAGGCGCTTTGTGTTCTTCTGCCGTCAGAGAATACAACACTCATGCTCTCCAAAGGGCACAGCAATAGCAGCGATCTATGAAGTAGAAACACAGAACCTGCCAGCAGCTTAGTGTCCAGATCCAGTATTTGCAAATTACCTGGTCCATGGCACTTTTGTTATATAGCAGCAGGAGCAGACCAACTATTTACTGTAATCATTTCAGTGTAATTTCTTCCAACACTGAAAGACTTGTCAAGTATCCCACCTGAACAATTAGTCAGATTGCTGCGCACGGCGGCTGAAGTCTCTCCCTTGCTGCAGCCTGATTGAGAGTTTACACAGCTCTGACATGTGCTTTAGAGGTTTTATTAGTTGTTGTTGTTGTTCTTGGAGGTGCCCCAAGTGATACTAATATACCCCACACTGAGGACTGCTTAGTCCCAACTAAAGCCCAAGCCGGACTCCAGTGGCTCACGCCTGTAATCCTAGTTACTCAAAGGCTGAGATCTGAGGATAGCAGTTCGAAGCCAGCCAGGGCAGAAAAGTCTTTGTGAGACTCTTATCTACATTTAACCACTCAAAAAGCAGGAGTGGTACTGTGGCTCAAGTGGTAGAGCACTAGCCTTGAACACAAATAGACTCAGGGACAGCATCCAAGGCCTGAGTTCAAGCCCCACAACCAACCAAAAAAAAAATCTAAAGCTTGAAAAATAGAATATATACCTCACAATATACTAAGAGACCTCGTCTGGTAAATCTTTACCTGCTACAAAAACATAGCCAGTGTTCCCTCCTGCCCTCAACCTCTGTTCCCTGAAATGAAGATGCTCTGCAGACTCTGTTTAGTCTTCTGGGGCCTCTCTTTCTACCACTATTAGGCTGTTTGGGAATAATTTAAATCCATAACAAGTGAACAAGGGTGAGCACTGTCAGTGCTGGATCAACTACAAAGAAATGAAGGAGTAAATATGCTAGATGCTATGAAATGATAGTAAAACTAGTGTGCAAAGCACTTATTAACCACTTCTCATAAATGAACTCTTGCCTTTTACACTCATGACAACCTATAACATGGATGCTGTCCTCATCTTAACAAACAAACAAAAAAAAAAAAAGAGCAGAACAAGATTACATAATTTATCCACCCAAGAAGTGAGGGAAGGAGGAAGGAAAGAAGTGAGTCTGTCCTACAGTCTGGCTCCAAATTCCACCCTCTTAATTTTTCCATTATAAATTACTGGAACTATTTTCAAAGAGGAGAATTGGGTGCCAGTGACTCATGCTTGTAATCCAAGTTACTTAAGAGACTAGGGGAGGAAAAAAAACACACAACTACTTCTCACCCCATAGCTGAGTACAGTGAAACATGCCTGTCATCCCAGCAATGATGAGAATAAATAGGTAAATTATGGTCCAGAAACACACCCAGGCAGGAAGAGATCATATTTCAAAATTAACTACAAAACACAGCTGAAGGCCTGGCTCAGAGGTACAGCACTTAGCTAGCAAGTATAAGACCCAAGTTCAAATCTAGGAAGGAAGGAAGGAAGGAAGGGAGGAAGGAAGGAAGGAAGGGAGGGAGGGAGGGAGGGAGGCAGGGAGGAAAGGAGGCAGGAAGGAAGGAAGGAAGGCAGTAATTTTAGTTCAATCCATTTTTTGTTTCTTGTGCCAGTACTGGGCCTTGAACTCAGGGCCTTCAACTC